AAAAAACGCAACAATCAAAGCGGGTCGTTCCAGCTTTATGGTTCTAAAGTGTTCAGAAATTCTAAGCAAGCGAGAACAAAAACCCTGGACCAAGTCGCAAGTGCTTGGCAAAGCATTGTAACTGTCCAAAGCTCTGGAGAATTGAAGTCTCCCCTAAATAGGGAACGTGTGCAAGGCATCGGCATCCCACCTGGCTCCCAAACATTTCTAATCTACTCCCTACAACCCTCATGGCCCATGACAGTCATCACAGTACAGGTCCATCCCATTCTAAAGCCTAGCTTCTCATGGAATCCGCTGGCCCTTGGGCGCCGGCGTGTTTTATCAATGTGGCCTGTATGTAGCTTAAGTTATGCTACATGAAATGACGTGCATTATGATACAATAAGAGAACAGGGAGATGAAATTGGGGGATGCAAAGTATAGCCTGCCAAGCAAGAAGATACATTATATGACATGTGACACAATGAGCGAAGTAGACCGTGCGAAGCAGCAAGCGTACATAGCATTCCGTCAGACATGATACAAGAGAGTAATGAGGACATGTGTGGCATGGGGATTTCCAAGCAGTCTGAGTCTGCAAAAACCGATAGATACGTGAGTGCAGGTGCAAACCCTGAGAAAAACGCGTGCAAAGCAGAAGCGCAATGCGTGGACAACGACAAGAGAAGAACGACCATAAGAAGGAAGCGCACACAACCTTTCACTTTAGCTATGATATATCTGAGCTACATACATTCGGGATGTTCTTCGGGGGGAGGGGGGGAGGGGGGGGAGGAGGGGGGGGTCAAGTTAGACGAGGCAAAAACTTGCTCGAGAGACACTTTTCTTATGCTGTTACTTTTTCTGCTCTGTTGCAGTCTTTCCTCTTGACGCAAAAGGTAATCCGCATCTTGGGACCATTGGCTGAAAAGGCCGGCGGAACAACCCGCAGGGTGTAAATACCTAAGCACAGGACAGATGCGACAGCCTTGACGTCACCCCAAGTAAGAAGACTTGGACCACGTTATTTTCGTTAACGGGTTTGAGGTCTCGTGGCTAGGTGGAAGGGGAGTGCTCCGAGAACAGCAGTGTCATGCAACATGATCAAACATCATTGCACGCTGCACACAAAGGTCTCAAATGATGGAGAATCCTTACTTAGAGCCTGTGATTCATTGCACGATCCCGGCTTCCCACAGCAATACATCTTCGCATATCTTTGCTAAACCAAGGAGAACTCAGCTAGCCGAAGCTATCTTTCGTGACTAAGAGGAAGGGCTTAGCAGAGCCGAGAACATAGAGGCAAAGGGAAGACACAAATGAAACGGATAGCTTGAGAAAAGACCATGGCTGCACTGCAAGTCTGAAAGCAAAAGGGCAGTGCAGTGTACTAAACTGTTTGAAGGATGCAACTGAACTGCAAGAGGGAATGAAGAGATTCAGGGCAAGGAAACTGAAATGCAAGAAGAAAGAAGGCATGCCTTTGACAGAACTTTCTAGAATGGCAAAGGATAGAAAGAAAGGATGCATAAAGCGTCTGAGCCAGAAGCTTGCCCAAACAAAAGCACTTGTGCAAGTCATGACATCCACAGACTCTGGTGGACTTGCAACTCTTGTTGAACGCATACTTTTTAAAAGGCCAAGGGTGCAGCTTCATAGATGTTTTGGAAAACTAAGTAGTAAAGTAAAGGTCGGTTTACTTTAAAGTGATTGCCCGAAATGCACCTGCTCATGACAGCGATCGCGAAGCTCTCGCATCTCGCTGGTGAGTTCTGCCTCTTCAAGTTGTATATGAACAAACTGAGAAATGATGAGCGCAGCTTGACGAAAGGTTGCAAGTGCATCTGAGCGCATCCGTAGTTGTGGCAATGGCCTGAAGTTCATCTGCTGCTTCTTTTTCACTCTGTAGCTGACGTTTCAGGTCCTGACAGAGCAGAGGGTGATGCTGACAAGACTGTTCTGGATAACTGGACAGCATCCTCCTGTTCGCAGCGCAGCCGCATTCGTGGATTGGCGCCAGCCTTGGAAACCGTCTTGCATCTTGGCCCCAGCACCAAATCTCCACTTCATTGGACACAGTATCAAGCCAATCAAAAGACTTGCAATTGGCAATAATCGCTTTAGCCAAAGCAGAGTGGGCAAGGCCGCCAAGGCAATTGTTGAAAGTTCAAAGGTCTCGCCTTGGCTGCAGCTGCCAGAGCCCCGTTCTTCATCCACTGCGCAGACTTCAAGCCCTGCACCTTGCACAACAGTTATGATACCAAAGAAAAACCAGGGGCGAAAGAAGAGTGGGAAGGGTCTTTCTCAACTCATACAACATACGTCTTCATCCTCATTCATCCTCATATGTCTCGTGAGAAATGCACCTATGCAGCGCTCCACCTATGCACCTATGCTTTGAAGACGGGCATATATACTTTGGGGGGCCTTAGGGTCTTAGGGAAAAACTATATTCTAACTGGACTGTACCCTAGCATTTTTTAGATTCTATCTGTCTGTTCATCACTGTAGGGTTTGGAAAATAAGTGGCAGATTTTGCAGTGATCATCAACCTTGTCTGAAATGTGCACCAACAACCACAGAGGGAAAGCTCGAAAACTTTGACAAAAGCTCTTGATACGAGGACACTGATAGATGTTTGAGAACTGCTTGACTGCTCATTGTTTTTAAGCCAGCCACCATGGCATCCAGGCGATGCTCCCGCGCCTTTGGTGTGCAAATTGGCTGAATCACGACAGTACATTTGCAACTCTCGACACACCTATCGATGGAAAAAAGAGAACGAGAGAGAGAGAGAGAGGGAGAGAGAGAGAGAGAGAGAGACAGAGACAGAGACAGAGGGGGGAACAAAAACAATTCTAATAGATGTGTGAGACCTACTCCTGAGCAACGAGCTCCCGGGTGCATTGATGCATTCTTTTTCACCTCGCAGAAGCCATATCAGGCCAAGCAACTTTTCTGCAGAATTCTGATGAGGGGCACCAAGAGCACCTGCCTGCGGGTGCTTGATGTGAAACCTGGCCTCATCAAGCGTCAAAGAATTCCAAAAATGATCCACTCCACCCTTCGCAAGAACTGCCTTGACAAAGTCATGGTCAGAAAGGCTTGTCTGAGAGCCCGAAGACAAGACCTTGCACCCAAGCAGCTTTGTATTGGCTGATCTCAACACCACAGCCAAAGCAATGGGAAGCACCATATCCAGATTGCTCAAGCCTGCCTCAGCAGACACTGCTACCTCCGCACTTGTTGCCATATGATCAACGAGTTGTCCTTCCGGGGATGTTGATCCAACCTGTGGGGAGCAGTTTTGAAGACGGTCACGCTGACTGAATAGTATATATAAATATAAATGCTTGACAAAGCCTGAAAATGGTCGTAGGCCAATTTCCACCGGTGATCAGCTAGAACCTCGGCCACAAAAACGTCACTGTCCTTGCCGGTCTGCCTTCTTCAAGCTTGGAGCTTTAAAAGGCGAAGCCAAATATGCCTGGATCGGATAGAGCGATGTGTAACAGCACCAAATATGGTATCACATTCGGTGCCGGGTGCCTGGAACCGACGACGCAGCTCATCAGAGCTAAAGCCGGACTTGGAAGCATCAGGTACCTTGGAACAATCTTCAGTTCCAAATGCTTGCACCTTATGCGACGTTCAGATATCTTCCTTTCGCTGGATCTACATTCCGATGAAACAAGTGATAATCTTTCCTGCCTGTAAAGTTGCTATATAAGTCGCAAAACTAGTCGAGGCCCAAACAAGAATCGGCCCCATGTCCTTCTCAGCACAGGGTTCCATCCAAACTTCTGAACAGCTACTGCCGTCCTTCGGATGTGCTCCAAGACTTCCAGCTAGAATTCCAAGATCTCCTTCTGAGACCTTGAGATGGGCGCAGGCCAGTTGTCAGTGTACTGCTGACCTGAATCTGCCCAATGAGAAGCAAACCCCAAGATGGCCATCGAAAAGCTCCAGCAAGCGTTGCATCTGCAACTGTCTTTCCTCTCGGAGCATTTCAGGTAGGTTTGCAAAGCCACAAGCGCTGCTTTAAAACAGAGGGTTCAAGGCCAGCTATTGCCTCTGCAAGCGCAATGAAGTGTGGATCCTGAGAGACAAGACTTGAGCACAGCCCTCTTGTCAGGCAGTTCAACTCGGTCTTCTGCTTCGACACGCCCTCCAGAGAGCTGCGTATTCAGTACCTTGCCACCAGTGATTTGACTTCTTACTCTGGTCTGCTTTGTTGCTGGCTGCAGCCAAGCTACATAGGCAAATGGCCCAGCCTTGTGCAGGTGTCACTGTTGGAATTCAGAGGCATTTTCCAAGTCAGGAGAAAGCAAAGCTTCCCGCAGGGTTGTGCCGATGACGAAGCTTTGTCCACACCTTGGAGGGAGTATATATCTGTGCATAATTTCATTCGAGAACAACAGCCCAAGTGCTCCACAACGCAGCGAGTAGCCAAAGGCCAGGGTCCACCCTGCTTTGCCACTGAGACACACAGCCGAGTGAACTGTACCTTACCTAACGTTTTGTTGTCTTCAAAGATTACCGCCAAAAGAGCATATATTATATATATATGTATAGTACTATTGAAATGTGTGCAGGTCAAAAGGAAACGCTGCAGACTGAGCATCTTTGAAATGACAAGTGATGGTTGTCTACAGCAAAGGAATCTGTAGAACATCTACTGTAGGGAGCAAACCAAAAAAAAAAAAATGGCCAAGCTATCTACCGCACAGCAAATAGAATATGAAGAATATGCTATTCAGTCTTCAGTCTTTGTGTGCTTCCTCTGCAGAGAGCAGGCAGAGCACGAATCCTAGCAAGCTGCTTCGCCAGCTTGTCGCCGGCGTGGTCGCCACATTGCAAAACCGCCATGTACCGTAGTGTACACTACGTCGTCTATAGCTCTCCATGGTTGGTAAGAACATACTACCTCACGCGGAGCTCATCACTTCCCGGAAGCATGCAGGGGATGTGCAACGTAGAGGAGTATCATGGAAAACTACAAAAACCTGCATAGGGCGCAAAGAATCTGAGAAAGCCATGCAAATAGAATATGCATGTTCTAACTGGAGGAAGCTTACATTATTTTTGAATGTAACTTACATTCAAAATAACGGACCTAAATTTAGATAGCCAAAAGTATTTATATATATAATCATATATATATTCTATCTGCTGGTGAGTTACTGCTATATAATCCTTGATCTACCTAGGGTTGCTTTTGTGGTGCTGCCAATAAGCTTTTTTCAGAAACATGTTTTATCTGCAGACCATCAAATGCCAATCACCAGAGATTATTGGAAAATGATTGTTGAGGAAGAACTCTTTTTAATGATGTTATGGGCATGGTTACTAGAAAACAAACACAAAAAGATGTAACCTTTCTCAGTCTTTCCAGATTTCTCCCAGGGCAGTTGTTCTTTTGATACTTGTTGTAGGGTCTTGTTGATGTCTTAGTTTGTTCTATTTTCGCTTTGGCCACTCCTTCCATTGACAGTGCACTTGTCGAAAAGCCTTCTTTTCGCTGAGCAGTTAACAATGACTCTTTATGTAGAAGGTCTCACTTTTGCAATTGGGTCATAGACAGCTCTGCTTGAAGATACCTTCCAAACTGTGAAAGTGCTCCCTTTTCCATTGCCTAGTCCAAATGTCTGTTATTATCAAGTGTCTTCCTTTCTCAAAACTATTCTATGTTGGCATATTGCCGCAAAAGTATTGACAAGCAATGCAATTCATCAGCGATTCAAGCATTCAACGTTGTTGACTGCAGATTCCAATGCGCTTATCCATTTGTTGGCTTGAAGCATCTTGCGTGTGTGCCTGAACAGTTTATTTTCCAGCACAAAAGGGCAAAGTATGCGATAGAAATGATAAATACTGGTGGGGTTGAGCATAAGTATACTCTATTTATGTGTATATATACAGGGAGAGACATGTATGTATTGTTCTCTGTCATGATTTGTTTACGTCCATGAATACTCTTTTTTACTTATGTGGTCACGGTCCAGCGCCTGAAAGGAATAACCCTGGTGCAAGTGGCGAGCCTGTGATCTTTCTCCATGTCCTAGCACACTGGGTTCCGGAAAAATGGAAAAGTCATAGGAAGAATGAGCCCCTAGTAGCATCCTTGCTCCTAGTAGTGATGCCAGGAGCCCCTAGTAGCTTCTTGCTCCTAGTAGTAAGGCCAGGAGCCCCTAGTAGCGTCCTTCATAATCAGAGTTTAATGTGTCATAATGTGTCATAGCATCAAGGCCAATTGCAGCTCACAGTGCTCGTCCTTCAATGTCCAGCATCAAGTCTGACGAGATTTGTGCTGCGCCACTATCTATCGCCTGATACTGAGTCGGTTTCTCAAAGAATCTGCATGAACGGACAAGCTTCATTTCATGCTCCGTTTGTGCTGTAGAGCCTCCCAGTTGGATCCAGCTGCCTTAATGTACAGCTCATTGACCTCAGATGAATCAACTAACCAACTGTAGACCTGGGGTCAAAACTGAGATTCGCTCTAGCAGTCTTCCATGGTACGAGCCACTGCAAGTATTCAGCTCGACGGTTGATCCATAGACCTTAGTTTATGTGCATTTTCCTTGGCTGACGGCTGAGCTTGTTGTAAACACGTTCCAACACTGATGCAATATCCTTTTGATCCAATACTGTTTCTTGCTTCTTCTCAGTTCCTGCTGATTTCCTAAGCCATCCAAGCCCGTGTGTTTCACTGTGCACTGCACTGCATCTCGCAGCGCTTGCGCGCGCAGAACAGAGGACGCAATTCGCTTGTAGCCAACCTCCAAGCATTCGCCATTCTTAGCATACTTCTACGATTTAAAGCCCTTGAGGCCGTCTGCTAAGAAGGCCCCTTCACAACTTCCACTCACAACCGCACTCACCTTGCCTGCGACAAAATATCCATGCCCTCAAGCCCTTCTTGCAGACACACAACATCCGGAGCATCAACCAAAATCCTCAAATTATTGAATCTCACTCTTCACCATGCCATTTGGAAGTATGTGTTTTTAGAAACAAATCCCATCGTACATTCTGTCCTTGATAGCTCTCGATGTACTGCCTGCCCAACTTGCAAATGTGGTACAAATGGATGTCGTTTGCTTGTGCTGACTTGCGCTGCGCTCCCAGGTTGTTGTGCACCTGCCAATCACGTGGCACAGATGCATACCTTCGCAAGTTCATGGTGACGATGACAAGCGAGTGTTCCTGGGCATTCCACATCTCAGTCACTGCTACCTGGAGACCCGCATCGTTCTTCCAACTGAGGAGAGGTCGGCATCACGCTTGTTTAACATGCCCTGTGCACTTTCAACTGGTTGAGTGATCGGCAACTTCGAAGTGTCATCATCACACGACTACTGACGGGTACACAACATGCCAAGAGCGCCTCGATACATTCGTCCCATTCTCTCTCCAAGTCCGAATCGTCTCTAGACCTATCATCGGTGAAACAAAGCAATCACAAAAGATCCTTCCAGAGTACCATCTAAGACAATCACAATGGTTCTTGTGGATGCATAGATTGTATAGTGTCAGCAAAACCTTGGCGAGAACCAATGGGTCACGAAACCAATTGTGAGAAACCAAGGAACCAAGAAGCAAGAACCCTTGATTCAGTTGACATTGGATGTAAGAAAACAATTACGAAACGGTTGCAAGTATACCGATACCATAAACTGTTGATCCAGGGCTCCTTGTCATTCGCATCTGCACAACGCCAGGTCTTGCCTAGGCGAGAGAAACCCCACTTAGATGGAATAAACTACAAGCGTTTTGCATAAAATTGGACAATGAGACAGGCTGCTTGACAATATGTAACTCCATATAATTTTGGCAGTCGCTCTAACAGGGTTTTTTATCGCGACATTTTGTTAATTATCATGTCGGGAAAATTTTGGACAAGTTATCGACATGTGACATAATTTTTACCTGACATAAACAGCCGTCAGGCTCTTTCCTGCTATCAAGCCACTGGTTGCGGTCATGTCGTTTCATCCTTGTGCTGGGGTCCATGTACTAAAGTTCGACACCCCGCCTCAAGAGTAGTTTGCTCTGGTTCACTTTGTTCACGCACCTGCACGCAGCGCCTTTTTGAAGCCAAATCTGTTCTTTACGTTTTGTGAAACTGTGAACCGGCCCCACTCTCACTTTCAACCGGGTGAAATCTCATCCATTTTTCTGGATCCCTCACTCACACACCTCACACGATATGTATCGCCTTCCTCGCTCTTGGTCTTGGCGTTTCTTCTGCGACTTCTTCCACTTCCACATCAGCAGGTTTGGATCTATCTATGTCCTCCACCTGATCACGCTTCTCTCTTCCGTCTTCTCGATCTATCTTGAACTCTGGCTGCGGCCTCTGCTCAGCCATTAATGATTCGTGATTCGAAGAACTTTTTCAAATGCCTGACACCGACGCTGATCACGCCGCCGCCTCCACACAGTCTGGTATCGTTATCGTGATGTTTGCCCTTCCAAAGTCACCATCAAGTCCATCGTAGCATCGCTCTCTTGCCACTTTCGCCGCAACATGCGCACACATGCACCATACTCCAGGATGGTCATGTTGCATAGATTTCACCACCTGCATCATCATCCTGTAGCACGTAGTCCAAAGCTTTCGAAGCAACTCTTCTTTGCCTCACTCTTCTTTTTTCGTCTTGTTCATCCTCTTCTTTCTCCTCCTGCGTCTCACTCAATCTGACGGATCAGCACCGCGGACATCTCCTCCTGCGTCAGCAGGTAGTAGTCTTCTCCGTACTGGGCTGCTAGCTTGGCTTCCCAGACCTGCTCCAGGGTGTGAGCGCTCTCTTGCCTCATTTCCTCCTCCGTCATCATCTCGGGTTCCTCCATGTCGGCATCCTGAAGAGAAGGACGACGACTGGTTTTGTACACTGGGTTCCACACCGGCTCTGTCAGCACAGTCGTGAAGTCGGTCATGTGCTCTGGTAGTCGACCTCCTCGAAGCTCCTGCATCTCGAGCGCCAAGTTGTCCAGGGTCACCTGAAAACGGGCTTGCATCTCCCAGTATTGCCTCATGGTGATCATCTCTTCTCCGGGATCGCTGCTCTTGCCCAGTGACGAGGACGCTGCTTCTTGCTTCACCACCTTCAGGCCCTTCATCTTCGCCTTGGCGGAAGGCTTGGCGGCCGGCTTGGTGTTCTTCAAAATCTCGACGATGGGCCGCTTGGGGCCGAGCGGAACTCTGAGAAGTGCGGCCAGCCGGATGAGGTCTGTTCGCAAAGTCGGAAGTCCTCCACGAGGTCCGATCAGGGCCCGAGCTTGTTCTTCTTCTTCTCCCCGTTGATGGGCTTCGCGGGCTTTGGCCTCTGCTTCTTCCAAGGCCGCTTTCTTGAGTCTCTCGGCTAATCCTCGAGCTGACTTTCCGCATTGAATGCCCTTCAGGATCGGGCCCTCGCAAAAGGAAGTCTCCAAGCCCATCCGATTCCGCCATTGAACGCATTCGTTCAAGTTCAGGTAGGTGAACTTTTGCTCCTTCTTTGCCCGAGCGAGATGCTTCTTGGAGATGATTCCATCCTTGGCCTGGGACTTGGCCTGCTCCTCCTCCCAAAACTTGACCGATGCGGTGGCAGGATAGGGCAATGGCAGATAGCGCAAGTAGCACCTTGGAAGGGCCCAGAGCAAAACGCCTTGAGTGGCCCACGTGAATCTTGTCCTCATGCGGAGGATCAGCCTTCGCCATCGCTGCACTTGGAGTGGAAAGACGTCCGCTCCTTCCATCACTCAGGGTCCTCGTAGTCGATCTGGTAGTATAGAGGAAGTCGTCGGGGTAGGGTTGACCGGCGGTTGACGGTTCATCCGCGAAGCTGCTTGATCCCCAAATGAACGGGCCGACAAAACTGAACAAACCAAGTGACCTGCTCTCATGCTGCTTTCTGTCAAAAAATGCTCATGACCATCAACACGAGGCGTGCGACAAAGCAAAGACTGATTCAAACGCTTCTTCAACCATGAAGTGGTGCTCAATTGAATCTCAATGACTCCGTCCAGTCCAAGTCTCCTCCAACGCTGAGGTTCCAGGCTCGGCCAAGCGCTTGGCAGCAGTCCCAAGGCGTAATGGCCTGCAGCGAGCTGGCTGAGCTTGATCGAATTGTCGTCCAACAACTCACAGCGCAGCGACTTGCGACCGAAGTTCATGACCGCCCCAACTGCCTCCAAAAAGTCCCGGCCCAACAACAAACCCAATGAAGGAACTTGAACCACGGATGTCCAAAAGCAAACCACTTCTCCCCCGATCATAGTTGGAAGACGCCATCGTTGAAAGCTCTGTTGAGTCCCCCCATTCCCAAAACGAAAGGTCTCATTCTCATCCTCCACCTTGACCAAGGAAGAAATAGAAGGGGGTGCTGATGACCGCAAACACTTCAAGAAGCTCGATAGCCAATCTGGTCCCGTGCAGGTTCTGTTGCAAGCGCTATCGAGGGCACCAACAAGCCTTTTGTCTGTGGCGAGGCCAGCGACTGAATTGACCTCTTGGGCCATGTGAGACTGGTCAAAAGCTGGGCTGTACATGTTGAGCAACCATCACCTCATTGTCCACCGTGACATCTTCATGCTCGGTGTTCAAAGCTTCGGCCATCTTGACCTGCTTGGTGGGCGATCGAGGCTTCTTTCTTCCCAGCTGCTGTCCTGGCTTCTGGCATTCTGGATCCCCTGCCCAGTGACCGGGCAAACCACAGTAGCACGGGTGTTTGTCCGACTGTTTCTTCAAGCTCACACGGGAAGCCGAGGTCGAAGGAGCGGCAGCCGGTTTTCCATAGCCACGATCTTTCTTCACCTCTTGAAGCTTTGAACGAGCTTCCTTCATCGTCAAGAAGGCCTCGGCAGCGGCCTCCACACTGTCTTCAACCTCTTGCAAGGTCTCCTGATCCAAGCCGCAGGCTGCGGCCTCCTCAAGTTCGGCCGTAAGGACTTCGGCCTCTGTGGTCAGAACCTCTTCAAGGCTTCTTCATCTTCACCCTGGTCGTCGACTGGTTCATCAACTTCGGAAACCATGGCCTGCTTAGGCGGTGGCCGACGATAGCTGGTGAACCTGCTGGTCGAAGCCGAAGACGAACCGGACCGAAAGGACCTTGGAGCTGAACTGGTAACCGAGGGGGCATATGATGAAGGCCTACTCGGGGTGCTTTTTGCAACATGGGCGTCCGCTGGTCACCATCTTGGCTTCTCCGGTACAGCGGGTCAGCAACATGCAAATCTTTGAAAAGGCGCAGCACCTCTCTCTCGATGGTGGGGTAGTCTTCGGCACCCCCAAGAGCTGTCTCGAGGAGTTGGGAGCGTAGTGCATCAAGTCCCAACTTGCGCTTAAACCACCACCCAAGTTCACCTTCATCAATCACAACTCCTTCGGACTTGAGCTCCGACACCAAGACACGGAACCTGGTGGCGAACTCGGCGATTCTCTCGCCTGACTTCCTCTTCAGCTCCAAGTAGAAGACGTTGCGAAGATCTCCTCGTTTGTCCAAGGAAGTGCGGCCAGTCATGGCCTCCAAGGCATCCAACAACTTGTTGATCCTGCTCAAGGGATCTTCTGCCTCGACCTCCTCATCGTCCCCTGTGGCGGGGTTTGGCATCATCACTGCCCTTTTGTACTCGAGCTCGGAGGGGTCGAATTCTTCTCCTCTTTGTCTGACTACGCCAGACTGCCTCAAGAGCCATCTGGCGGCCAAGTTGTACTTCTTGGTGCTCTGCACGTCAAGGCCTGCAAGCCACCACGCCATCTCACGGCGGAAAGGCCGCCATGTCTGCGGGCTGCCGTCCCATGTCGGGACTCTTGACCAAGCACCTCCGTTGGCATCTTTCTCATCAGCCATGGTGGACACGAAAAAAGGTGGCTTCCCTCTGGGAAGCTCAGCGAAAGCAAAAAGAGTGAACTCACTGATCTATCAAATTCTTTCTCCCCCCAACTCCACCACTCGAAGCCTCGCGAGAGGACGCAGTCCAAACCAAGGGTCCAAGGCTCGTGGAAGCCAGGAAGATCTCACCTTCAACCTTCAAGACCGTGGCAGAGAGCTCCGCCTGGAGTGCCCTCCACAATCTCAAAAACGAAGGGGTCGTGCAAACAAGATCCTCAAGCTAGCGAAGCGGCGCAGGGCGTAGCAAGGATCGGCAACCTAAGGGCTCCGGTGCCACTGAGAAAACCTGACACGCGGCAGTCAGGCTCCAGGATTTTCCACCGGGGCTAAAAGTCGAAGCCTTTGGCTGAGGCGCCTTGAACATGAACAGCCACAACGTGCTCAACCGATCCGAATCAAGTGCGGTGGTCCGTGAATGCTTTCACAACTGTATTGTGTTTTACGTCAAATTGTTGCAGTTAGAATATGTTCCTTCAGAACTCCAGGGGGTTACCAGTCCTTTGAGTTATGGTTTACTGTACTGTACAGTAGATATGGTAAGCACCTGAAGTTGTATAGGACACACTTGCCCATGCTGATCTCATTGCACCCCTAGAGAGAAGGGGATGCAGTTAGAATGTATGTATATATATATATTAAAATATATACAGTATACTCTACATAGTTTCTTGAAAGAGCTTTTGTTCCTAAACAAATCCATTGTAAGACTTGAGGCCAAGGGGGGGGG